TTTGTAACTGATATCGACTTATTTGATAGAGATAGCATCATTGTAATCTATATTCTACATCTATACTATGTATATCATCAATATATTGTAATTTATATATTGTAATAATTTATATATATTGTATATATATAATTACATATTGTAAATTATATTAATTGCACGAAATTGAAAAAATGCACATGATACATAACGCAAAGTTTACAAAATTAATATATATCCAATAAATACTTGTTGTCTGTTAGACATTTTATTTTAAAATTATTCTAGAATTTAATAGTCTGTTTTTGATATTAAAGTTAATAAATACGGAAAATTTTTATTTCCAAATTTCGTAGTTTCAATTATCTTTTTAATTATTATAATGCGTAACATAAAAATAATTAAATAATGTATGTGATTTGATATTAAGCCAACGATGCAATATTAATTTCTCACTCGCGAAATTTAATACTTGCTCTTTCGATAATGCAAAATCGCAATTTGACAAAATTATTTAGAAGTTCGGGATTTTGTGAATTAAATATATTCGTGAATTTGCAAATTGAAATTAAATATTTGTTAAATAAATGAATAATATTTGTTAAATAAATGTATAATTAATATTACAAACATCGCGTTTTTTTTCGTCCTTTGAGGCGCGATTGCTATCTTATTGTTTTTCATGTAAATACTAACGCGGTTCGTACTATCGAAGAAATGATCTTTATTGCAGAAATATAATTTCTCGTCGATTCTTGAACAATTAATCTACAACGAATTCAATGTTTCGTTGAAAATTAGGGGTTTTCGTTGCAGAGCTGGAATTAAATCTAGGTTTTTTCGACAGTTCCTGGAAGCAATGGTTTTAACAATGAGTTAACGACAGATTTTTTTAAAGTCGAATCACGAAATTATAATTAAATAATATACTTTGAATAAAAAATTTTTTCTTCTTTTATTAAATCTTCTTCTGTTATTATTATTCTTAATATTGATATCGGTTTAAAAATTTTTTATCGCTTTGGAAAAGACTTATTGTTAGTAGTAAAGCATTGAGCATGGATATAGCTATTACAGAGATAAATATTAATTTATATATATTATAGAGATAAATATTAATTTATACCAAATAGGTAAATTTAAATTGTAATTTATTTGTTCATCTCTGAACTTTTTTTAACAAAATATATGGTTAAGAACGAATATGTTTTATTAATTGATTTTTAATTAACTTTACTTTTGATCTCTTTTGAGAGATTATTTCTAGGTGTTGGACATCCTGCCATTTTAAGCCATTAATATTAATTTTTAAGTATAATTCGCTTGATATTTTATATAGAAAATTTGTTAGATATTTTACATGCAGGAAATATATGCGCAAAATGTGACACATTTGATAAAACTTTTCTTTTGTTAATATTATATCAATAATATTATATTAATAATAACACAATCATATTATATTATTAATAACACAAATATACATGAAATGTGCAAGTACTAAAAAATTCGAGGCAAGTCGAATGGGTACCCTGATATCAGTAAGATAACGACATATTAAAATATTATTAAATATATTATAGAAGAATTAATAATTTTTTATTTTACGTTGCGAAATATTTAAATACGAAATTTTTCAAAATCTTGCTGTTATTGGGTTCGACTTGTCTCGAACACTTGGTACCCGAAAATTATTGTACTCGTACATTTAACAAGCGATAAATGCGCATATGTTTCATGATTCTTAAATATACTCGTTTGTAACCATGCACAGTTCTATAAAAATAGTTATCTTATAAGAGTTTTATTATTTATTAATAAAAAGACATTTTTAAATAATGGAAGAACATTTTTTCGTGTAAATTTCGATCTTGTGAATGAAAGATGATGATCATAATTGTCATTGATTCATTGAAATGTTAAAATCATTGCTATTGGGAGTGGTCTGGAAGATCTGAGATTCGTTCCATTTTGCAGCGGAACTCTTGACATTTAACGAGTCATTTAATTTTCCTTCGCGAATCAATCTCGATAGAATTCTACGTAAAACATACGTTAAAAAAAAGTCGCTCTCTCTATTTAATATTGTTCTTCTACCTGTCGGATATTAACTGACGATCGGGCCAAATTATTTTAATCTTTCGAATTGTTATCATCAGATTATCCACGAGATATTTTCGTCTTATATTTAATTGCAGTTATTATTTTTTTACTTGATCGTTGGCTTATACAAAATTTCGCTTATTTTTTCACGTGTCAAACTTTCTTAAAAAATTAAAATGTGTCAATATAAATACTTTTCTTTTTGTAATAAAAAGATTGATAATATAATTGATGATAAGATATAATAATTAATGAAAAAATATAATAGATAATGTAAATGTATTTGCGATTTTTTTATTGCAATTACGCAATTCTTAATAAGTTTTGTAATGAAAAGTCGATAATTAATAAATATCACGAATAATTTGAATCGTCTGTTTGAAAATCATTTGATTTAATTTTAAATGAATGTTGTGTGCATTTCAGACATTTTCGTGTAATTTTGTATCATAAGATATTTTGTACTAATTTATAAATATTATAATTATATTTATAAATTATATATTGTAATTATATTATATAAATATTATAAATTCTTATCATAAATATATTGTATATGTTGTAAATATTATTATATATTGTAATAATATTTTATAAAACTATTTATGTTATACTTTGTAGTTCAATTATTGTATATTTTATATTCAATATGAATTATATATCAATTGTATTAAATACACACAATAGTGTATATTGTATATATTTTCAATATTTTATAAGTAAAATAATTTTGTAATGTAATAATTTTATAAAATAATATGTAATAATTTGTATAATAATTTTATAAAATAATTTTATAAAATAAGATATTTTGTATTAATTTATAAATATTATAATTAATATATTATAATTATATTTTATAAGTATATTATATTTTATAAAATATGTATGTTACTTACCACACTTCAATATTATTATGTATATTATATATTGTATACTTCCCTTTATTTTATGAAATTATATTATATTTATTATATTTAAATAAAATAATTATAATAAAAATTATACCTCTTCGATGGTATCTCCACCTTAACGAAGGCATTTGCCGGGTGAAGAGGTTTGAGTACTCTAATGATCCGGAGAGCTATGTCGGCGGTAATGTATTTAGATAGTAAAAATAATCATTTCTATGTCATTTTGCCAGTCAAATCGCGTCAAAATGAGATCAAAATGATTATTTTTGCGATCTAAGTAGTTACCGGTAAGGTCACCTATGCCGGACAGGTCGAAGGGGAAGAGTGAGACTAAGAGAGATACTGTAGTTATTTATACTGAAGTTATTTATACTGAAGTTACATATTACAATATTTTTAATAAAAGCTATATATATATTAATGACGAAAAGTAAAATCCGTGCTTAAGGATTGAAACATTCTTTTACAAACACAACAAAATTTTCATACGATATATATAAAAGAATTATATGAAAATATTAAGAAAATAATTAATAAATATATATTACTTAATTTTTTTATCATATAAATTCATTGTTGTGTATGAAAAAAGTCTCTTCTTTTTTGCGTAGAATTTCTTCTACATTTTTATTTAAAAATGTTTTGCAAATATATGTCTTTACTATTTATTTTATTATCAAGAGTATATATAATTAATATATTTATTAAAATTGCATGTTATCTAATATATAAAACATGCAAATATGTAACTTTATTCTTTCATATTATAAAGTATTTTAATTATTAACAACGTTAAATATATATATATATATATATATATAACGAATTAATCGAACGAATGCATTCCGATTCATCTTTTCGTTTGGTAGATATAAATATTTAATTTACTATTCGACTGATTACATTCCGATTCGCTTTTTTATTCGATATATATAAATATTTAATTAATTAATCTAACGATTGCATTCCGATTCATCTTTTCATTCGATATATATAAGTATTTAATCAATTAATCGAACGATTACATTCTGGTTCGCTTTTTCGTTCGGTATATATAAATATTTAACGAACTAATCGAACGATTGCATTCGGCTTACCATTTTACTCGTTGCGTTATAGTGAATATCGCACGAGAGAGGCAAGCAACATGCGCGATGTCATGCACGATTTCGACCGTCCGCGAACAGACGAAAAACGGCCAATTTATATCTCGACTTCCGGACGCAATAGCGATTTCGTTCTTTTTGCATAAAATTCTACACCATTTCGCGGCACTACCGTTTAAATCTCGTCCCGATCGCCCGAGGAGCGGCTGACTTACAATGAATATCCGAAATCTTCTTGAACTCACACTTAAGTGTAATATTTATATATATCGAATAAGAAAGCAAGTCGGAACACAATCAGTCGAATAGTGAATTAAATATTTATATATACTAAACGAAAAGATGAATCGGAATGCATTTGTTCGATTAATTCGTTAAATATTTATATATATAAATATTTACACGTACGTTACACTCATATATATATTAATAATTAAATTTTTACATAATGAAAAAAATTGATAAATATCATAGTCAGTTAATGCTAATTAAGAAAATTTATAGAAATATGGTTAAAAATGTTTTTATCTTACAGTAGATATTTTGGGTTTTGTAAATAAAAAGAGATAAATATGACAATAGCACGGAACAAAACTAGAAATTGTGCACATTACCCTACCCATATTTTACCCTCTGAGAACATTCATAGACATTGGCTTTGTAGTTCATGTCCACGTTTTCAATGTCCATAGAGGGAGTATCGCTTTCAGGGATCACCTAAAAGGAAGCCATAACATCTCTCAGTCTTCTCTCTACTACTCTACGATGACAGATTTTTGAACACAACCTTGAATAGGAACCTTGAATAGATCAAATTTAAAGGTTGCCTAGACTGTTGTTTCCTAAGACTACGCATGCGCGTTATAAGTCGTTGGCGCGGAAAAACGAGATTGAATGGCACGAAAATAATTCGGTAAGTATTGATGTAAAGATTTTACCTCTGAATCTTTCAAAACTTGCATATCATGTATATTTGAAGGTAAACAAAGTGAATTAATCTTTCGATGTAACTTAATTTTCCTGTAAATTTATTAATATGTTTGAATCATAATGCTTAGCATTGCATCGAGGTCATTCGATGAATTTATCGTACGTTGTTCAAGATCGTTCGATATATATATATGTATTTTTTTCTTTATATTCTCTTAATATAAATTTCTTCCAAGCAATATTTCTTCTCGCAAACTAAATTTCTCGGTAATTTTATTAATCTGCTTGACACACAATGTGGAATAAAATAAATAATATACCTTTGCAATAAATAAATTGCATTTGCAAATAAGTGATATGGAAGAAGCTAACAAAATATTGCCACAAATCGTCAAAAATGTCGAGAAAAATATATATTGAAATATTTGAAAATACTGAAAAAATATTCGTGTCATACATAAACACAATATATTGCATTATTAATGTAAACTTGATAAATTTATCAAGAAAACTTCGTGCGATTATAGTTTTGCACGTATTAATAAAGTTACTGAAAAATTTAATCTTTAAAATTGTTAATAAATAAGTATATATAGCATCGAAAACTGAGAAAAATATTGCTCAATATTCTCCTCATATGCAGATAGTATATATGTGAATTTCAGTAATTTAATATTCATCCATTTTAAATATCTTCCAAATTATATAAAAATTTTATTTTTTCTAAATTATAACAAATTTAGCTTACATATTTGAGATATAGAAACATTTATTTGTACTTATATTTGAAATTATTATCAATATAGTACATCAAGATATTTGATTTTGATTTTTGTGTTATTCAGAATCAGATGCTAGTCTTTTCAAATTTGCATCGGAGAAATTATAATAATGCCACTGTTCTTTAGATGTCATATCACTAGCTCCATATTTTTTATAAAACTCCTGTGCCGGGTTCCAGTTGAGAACAAGAAAATCCAACTTGCTACAATTATTCTCAACTGCTTCCTGCAAAGATTTTATAATCAGACACATGTTGCATATTTAATTGTATATTTGAATTGTAATTTAAACATACTTTTGCAACAGCTTTCAGAAGCTTGATGCCAACATGTTTCTCTCGAAACTCTTGTGTCACGTAAATATCCTCTAGAAACATAACTTTACCACGCCATGTAGAATAGACATAATAAAAGATAGTATAACCAATGACCTTTTCATTAAATGTTGCCACATTACAGAGAAATAATTGTTCCTCGAAGCCATCTCTTTCTAAAGCTAAATATTTTCTTTCGTGAGATATCATCATTTTTAGGCAATTTGTATTATAATATAGAAATGTGCATAAATCTTACTTTTGTAATCAATTTTTGGCCCATCAGGCATCTTCTCATAATCTGCTAATTCCTGAAAAATAATCATTTTTATAAATAATCATTTTTATAAATAATCATTATCCAAGATATTTATTATTCGCTATCAATAAAATTTACCTGTATGAGCATCATGATGGCTTCACAATCTTCACGTCTAGCTCTCCGTACAATTATTTCAGTCATTATTGATATTTGCGATTAACGTGGATTTTAGCTAGAAAATTATTGCAGCGACTATTTCGAAATATTCCAAAAATACTGAAAATATAATATAATACATAAATCTAAACACAAATCCTTCCTCTAACATGAATTATCACTTATATATCTTTCACAGATTTACTTGCGAAAGATTAAATATCATGACGTGTGTAAATTTACTCTTATCGCTCTTATCATTTTTATAAATGTAACGATTGTATTTGTCAATGATTGTTATGTTGCAATTTATCTTTTGGTTATTTCCGTGTGTGCATTCCTGCTGACTAAATCGATTCTCAGAGGGCTCTCAATCGCAGCTTACATTTCCGCTGCCGTCCCCGCGTTTTGTATGTGCCGGCTGTTTCCTGTTTCAAGCATCAAAACAAACTTGAGATTTTTATGTTACAGTGATTATTCTTGACACCTTTAAATCGACTTATTTAAATAACTAAGCAACATGAGTCGCAGGAAAAGAGCAAAGGTATGTGTTTCATTTTCTCCGGATTAAGAAATCTCTCCTTAAGAATCAAGCGCGATAATGTTTTATATATTTGTGGTTACATACGTTGACATCAATTATAACAATAAGACTGCGATGTTACCGCTTTGACTCACGTCTTGTTCTTTTATTACATGATAATGAATCGGATAAATAAATTTTCGTTAGAATATTTTATGATTAGGTCAGATATTGGAATTTTGTTTACTAAAAAGTGAGGCTATATTTTGATTGAGAACATGTAGAGTATATGTTTACGATACTTTATATAGCTATTATTTATCATTCAATCATTATTCAATCATTATTTAAATCTTTTCTTTAAAGAAAAGTTTTCTGCTTATGTGAAATTTTTATAGTACCTCTTATGTTTGTACGCAACTACTGTATATATTTTATATGAGAAAATATCCAATATAGGTGGAGTATAGAGAAATGGAGGAAAAATATAATCAGTTAGAAGATGAAAATGCCTCGGATACATCAGAGAAATCTAAAACTGGTCTTGTAACACCAGAGAAGAAAGTTTCCACAGAGGTGAAAAAAGAATCCGAACCTATAATACCTGTACCTGTAGCTTCTGCTTCAAAAAGTGAAGTCAAAGAGGAAGATGATCAAGACAGTGATCATGAAGATCCACACGGTATTTTATGAACTATCTAAATTTGTTAATGTAAAGATTAATTTTATGTTTATATGTTTAATTTTATGTTTATATAGTGAAAGAATTATTGCATGGATTGGAAGGTGCAGCCTTTCAAAGCCGCCTACCATTTGACAAATTGACATCTACCGAAGCTGCATGTTTCCCTGATGTTTCTGGTGGACCACCACAAACACAAAAAGTATTCTTGCACATTAGGAATAGACTTGTAAGTATATGAATTATAAATTATGAAATTATATTCTTTTTTTAATATAATTGTTACATTTTAGTTGCAAATATGGCTGGAAAACCCCAAACAACAATTAATCATCGAAAATGCATTACCACAAATTGAACCACCTTACAATAGTGATACTGTGCTCACTCGTAGGATTCATGCCTTCTTAGAACGCCATGGATTTATAAACTTTGGAGTCTTTAAACGTCTTAAGGTAATAAATATATATAACTCTTGCATTATTATTTTGAAGAGATTGTTATATATTTATTTTATTTTAATATTATATATTAGATATATTAATATTGCAATTTTATCATATTATATATATAGACATTGTTATTATATTATTAAACAAAAACAAAACGATTAACAAAAATTAACAATTTGTATTTATTTGTTGCAGCCATTACCTACTAAAAAATTAGGAAAGGTCATTGTAATTGGTGCTGGTATTGCTGGATTGGCAGCAGCTCAGCAGATGCAACAGTTTGGTTTAGAAGTAATTGTTTTGGAAGCTAGAGTAAGTTCTTCATATATATAAATTCTATTTTAACTTTATGTATAAATTAATTTTTACTAAACTATTATTAATTTCCGTCTAGGATCGTGTTGGTGGACGAATCGCCACATTTCGTAAATCAAATTATATTGCGGATTTGGGAGCTATGGTGGTCACCGGTTTAGGTGGAAATCCTGTAACGACTCTTAGTAAACAAATTAATATGGAACTCCATAAAATTCGACAAAAGTGTCCATTATATGAAAGCGATGGTCAAACGGTGTGTATATTTAAAATATTTTATTAAAATAATGTTGTATACATCTCTTTTTTGCTATTATATATTATAAAATATAAGCAGTTATTATATTCGTTATTATAATTTTTAACAATTATAAGATTAAATATTGCTCCCTATTACATGTATTAATATGTTCAGTTAAATATATATTAATCATATGTCAAAATTTAAAAATGGAATATGTATTTTTTACAGGTTCCAAAAGATAAAGATGAAATGGTCGAAAGGGAGTTTAACAGATTACTGGAAGCCACTTCTTATCTTTCACATCAACTAGATTTTAATTATGTAAATAGTGGATCTGGAGGTCAAGGCAGTAATACACGTCCAGTATCTTTGGGTCAAGCATTAGAGTGGGTAATACGTTTACAAGAACAAGGTGTAAAGCAACGTCAAGTAGCTCACTTGCGTTCTGTACTCTCATTGCAAGGACGACTAGTTACTAATCAGCACAGAGTATGTACAATTAAAAACTATTTTTTCAATTAAATATTTTTAATGTGATATACATGAAATGATATAATTAAATAAATATATGAAATGTTTGAAATTATATGATTAAACTATTTTCTAGATGATTTCCATCATGGATCGTTTAGTCGAATTGAATAAACAATACAAAGAAATGACGGAAAGTAAATTACAAACTCGAGATATAACGCAAGAATTCGTACTCCGATCTAAATTACGTGATCTTCATAATGCTTGTAAGGTATATAATTTAATGCATTTTTAATAACAAAGTTATAGTGATATACAGTAAGTAGTTAAATAGTGATATACAGTAAAGTAATAATATATTTATTTATTTTGTGTATTTCTCAGGAGTGGGATCAGCTATCAGATCAACAGAAAGAAATCGAGGCAAAATTACAAGAATTGGAGGCATCACCACCCAGGTAAATCTATTATATTCTACATATTTTGAATTTACTTTAAATGATTTATAGTTTGTGAAAAATTTATTAATTTATATATATTGCATATAATGCAGGAAACACTTTAAAAATTAAAATACAAAATACATATAAGAATAACATACACATTATATACTTATATAAAATTATAAATAAATTCCTGTTATATATTCTGTCATAAATTATAAATCATCAAGAATGATGGACTTAAATTGTATGTATGTGTATATATTGATATATCTTTTTTTATACACAGTGACGTCTATTTATCATCTAAGGATAGGCAGATACTGGATTGGCACTTTGCAAATTTGGAGTTTGCCAACGCAACATCTTTATCAAACTTGAGCCTGAAGCATTGGGACCAAGACGATGATTTTGAATTCACCGGAAGTCATCTAACTGGTGAGTTTACATATTGCTTATATAAATCGCGTATCAATTTTCAAAGAATTGCAATTCTTGAAAATTCGCAAATTAGAAGATACGTATGAATACATTATTTTTTTTTTGTCATACGTTTCCTTGTAACAAGTAATTTAGCGAAGAATTAAACACATACAAATCGTAACATATGCAACTACACAAATATCTATGTACGGTATCTCTTAAACTGGAAAAGATTTTAATGAATTAATTGCCAAGTATTTGCGGAATATTTAATTAAAACAGTATCAGGATCGAAATATATATTAATCTTGCGAAGTCGGATTTACCAGATATAATCATGTTTGCTAAAACACACGCACACAATTGCCCTGTGTTCTTTGAAAATTGCTGAGGCCGAGAGGAGATGGCGCAGATAATGAGTGAATTATTCGCGAGTTGCATCTCCTTTATAGGCGTTTGACTCGCTCCTCTCGCGCGTCTCCCTGTAGTTGACTTTATCAACCTTATTGAAAGCCGATAGCATGAGATTCCGTGTAGATAGTCGCCGTATTCCCCCCGACCTATCGAGTACCAGAGTTCTCATTATGTGAAATTATGCTATGATCATAGCCCGTAAACTCTTACGAGCTTACTAAAGCGGCGACGGAAAAGCCGTGCGGTTAAAAATATTTTACGATCGTCGATAAACGAGTATTTTTGCGGTTTGTATCGGCAAATAAATTGTATTGCCAAGTATTTTAATTTTATGAGACATGTTTATCAAGACTTGCGCGCACAAATATATGTTCTTTATATCGCTAGATATATTAATCAAAAATTCTATGCTTTATCACATGTCCTCTAATGTATATACACGTTATAAAAGTCATTAAAAATCAAAATTTGATCTAAACGCGCGCGTGTAGTTTTCGCTTAAAATAATCGACCGTGAAATATTTCCTATTTTAAAAATATTATATTAATTTTTCGTATGAAAGAAATATTTTTTATTTCTACATGATCTTCTTTTGGATCTTTTTATTAAAAAAAAAAAAAAACATGCGATCGTGTAATCTTACGCAGAACGTTTCGTGTCACTTGCCAATCCCGTTTTCGCGCGTGAGTGCTAAGGGAACATTAACGTAATACATTCACGATGGAAACTACTATCTCCTTAACGATCCTTTTGCCGATACTCGATGCGCAATCAAAACTAGCCGATATCGTTCGGACTGCAATGCGGTTTAACTGTACTTGCTACCATCATTGCAAGCTCGACGATTGCGCGAATGGAAATTGCTTCGAGTGTACCGGTCCAAAGCCGTTTTGTCGGCTATCGAAATGGAACATACGCGCGAGAAGAGAGATCTGCTCGGATCGAATCGAACCCGGAACTCGGACGTACGGTAAACGGATGCGGTTTGCCGTGAAACGAGAGAACGCGCGCGCAAAAGACGCTCTCATTTCGAGGGGGAGTGTTCGAGATCGCGAACGATGGCCCCCCTCCGAAAGAAGGGGTTCCAGAGAGAGAGAGGGTAGTGCGCCCATCGTGAACGTGCATCGATGATCATGATGGTCTCCGTTGCACCAGGTCCCCCGCGATTAATGAGATGTAAACAATTTAACACTAAATTAAGCACGACAATAGGCTCTCTCTTTTTTTCCTCCCTCTTTCCCGATCGAAGCCAGCCCCTTCGTCGGGGCTTCCAAGCACCGACTCACCCGATATATAATCGGGATTGTCTCTCGGCGGCGCGCTCTTTACGGACCATCGGTTCCTTCTCGGTTTCAAACGAGGCCCGCCGATGGGTCGCTCGCGATTTTATCGGGAAACGCACCGAAAGTAAAACAATACTTTACGGGACGTTTCTCTCGCTCCGCGTCTTTTTACTGTTTCACCCTCCGCGCTCCGATTTATCATCTGGTGCCTTATCTGAGAGCACCCGTTCTTGGAATACTTGGTACGATATATATGGGAAATATCAGTAGCATTAATTTTTCCTTTCGAAATTTCCTTGATAAGATATGAAATATTCAAGTATTTTAAAATTACATGCCATCTTTTGCAATTTAATAATGATACACAGATAAGTTTATGATTGCAGATGAAATTGTCAAGAATTTATTTACAATCTTTTGGAAATTTTTTCTAAAACAATCACGCTGTGTCGGAGATATATCGCCGTACTTGCGACAATTGACACAATTGGACGAATTAATTTTTTCCTGATGTAAACGTAACGATATCTCGTGCATTTCGAGATGAGCGTATCTGCGCGAAAAGTCGAGGGAGAAAAAGCGAAGCGCGTAAGGTAGTTGCCCTCGTGCTCGGAGGAAAAACATAGCGACGTGATCGCAAGTCTCTATATTTTATACTCCGACTCTCGTAACTTGTTCCTCAGTCCACGCACGTTTACGTTCTGAGACTGAATACTGCGAGACGTGCCGTTGCACGCTCTTTCTTCCCGCGCTTTATGCGGTTATTGATCCGACCTATGCAGTCGGGACTGTTCCCGGGGAATATTCGGTATCGAAATTTATGGATGTATCTCGGTGACAACGCGATCGTCACGGTCATCCCGACATCCGCCAGTCTTGTTCGATCAGCAATATAACGGAGATTTACCGAGCTTCCTTCCCTGGCGATGAGATCAGTCGGTCGTCATCAGGATATTTTCGGGATACGCCAATTTTCCATCCGAAGAAGATGCGAACATTCTGACAACACACTGGATGTTTGCGGAATTTTCGCCAAAAATACAAAACTCATCCCGCGAATCTGAAGACAGTTTTTCCGAGATTTCTTATTTTATGTCACTTCAAAATTTACAACGCATTACTCCAAGTTTCAATTTAACGTTCTGTGATAACAATAATCCGTCATGATTACTTGATATATTGAAATTATATATATAATAATTTAATCATTGCACAAATTATTATATATATATATAATTTCAATGTATCAAGTAATGATGACGGATCGAAAAATCCACAACGAGGGGCACGTTCGCAAAATTCGAAGTCGCGATATTCGCGAAACACCCCATATAGCTCGTCGCCAACTCGAGCCCTGTTGTACGGCGGGTTCACGAGAAAAAGATGAGAGGGAAAAAGAGGAGGGAAGGGGGCATTTACGACGTATCGAAGACTTCTATACGCCGTTCGTTGACTCCGATCGTCGCATTCCACGCCGTTCGTGGTGTGTCGCTACCAAAATTATATTGTCGTAAAGTTGACTTTACCCTCCCCCATCTCCCTTCCCCGTTCGCCATCCGAATCCTCCTTCTCTTCCTCGCTGTTGTTTCGGGGGGGGGGGGGAAGAGGGGGATTACATTCGCGCGAGCGCATGAGCATCCGGCACAAGGATGTCCTTCGCAGGATCCTCCGATTGTCCCGCTCGGCCCCCCCCTCTTCCCTCCTCGCGTGCGTAATGCCTGCGATATATTGCACGCGCGTCGTTAACGCGTGCATATTTTTAAATGAATCGGGATCGAGATACGATAAAGGAGATTATTCGGCGATGACGCTCCCTCCCAAGGTGCGAACTTCGGGGGCTCGCTTCCCCTCCTCTCTCCTTCCCTTTTCGTTACGACGATCGCACTAATTGACGGGAGGATAACCGGATGTGCTTTTATCGGAGCTCGGAGCGATTCCGCGACACTCCGCGATAAGGAGGGAAAAAAAACGTAAAGATAAAAGAAATGGAACGAGGAAGGAGGAAAGGAGGAATTTATTGCGAGACGTGCCACGTGTTACGCACGGTTGCCCTCCGATTTGCATCTTTCTTATTTTTCAGAGAAAAGATATTTCAAAATATTTATATTATTTGTACTTAAATATAAAATAGAAAAGATATTTTAAAATATTTATATTATTTGTATTTATTTTAAAATATTTATATTATTTGTACTGAAATATAAAATAGAAAAGATATTTTAAAATATTTATATTATTTGTATTTATTTTAAAATATTTATATTATTTGTACTTAAATATAAAATAGGAAAGATATTTTAAAATATCAATATTATTTGTATTTATTATAATTTACTACTTACTTATAATATTTATATTATTTGTATATTTATGCATGATTGGACGAGTGCCATATGATAATTTTTTATTGCAAGGAGGCAGGATAATATGCGATTCTCGTCACGATAGAATGCGTTATAGCGGTTAACAGATGCATTCTGCAACATCAAGCTGTAACAATGTCGTAATCTGCGCCCGTAATCGAGCTCTATAATCGAGCTTTCAACGCACCGGTTATTGTTTCCGCCGTCTTTGTCTTCCCTTGACAGAGTCGTGTTACCGATCGCGCGATACCGTCAACTCGGTCAAGACATCGCCGGGTGGATGTACCGGAAGCGTGAGACGCGTTCGCCGATTAATGAACGGGTTAAAATCGCGCTTCTCGAGAGCAAGATAGAGAGAGGGAGGGAGGGGGGGGCAGCCTCGCCGGCCGGATACTCATCCTGCATGATGATTTGATACTATGTCGTTGTTCTTCCTTTTTCGACGTCAATACCGCACACTTTCGTTCGTTGCTCCTCGGCAGCAGCAACAGCAGCCAGCAACGCTGCATTGCACAAACGGTCTTTGTTGAGCCGGAGCGCGAGGTATGACAATGCAACCGCCATCGGTTGAACATCGAAATTTCTTCCGAGTCTCCTCGTGATAGGACCATTGTGCAGAAAGGTTGATATTAACCGGGCAAGCCGGCGCGCCGCGCTCTCTCGAGAGACTCTCATTATGTATGCGCCATCGAAATTGCATCGTTACGATCTTGAATATGCATTCTCCCCCCCCCTCTCCCTCCTCCCTAAATATTCGCCCCGGTCCGCGTCCTGGCACGACGTCGGACAGTTTTTTTTTCTTTTTCTTTTTCGCAAGCGAATGCGCTCCGGAGTAGCAGTATTGCCGATGCTAAAGTCGGGCTTCTTGACATTCCAATCGGATCGGATTTGTCCGACATCGGCAAAAATCCCGATGGCCACTCGAGGCAAAATACAACTTTACGTAGTCCGCGA